GGGTCGGAGCCCTTGGATGCCCAAGGGTTTTAGGCACTCAATTACTCTACCTCATCGTATGGAAAATGTTGTTTCCACAGAGTTTTTGGATAATCTAATTACAAAAATAATGATAGCATTCAAGAGAGTGCGTTTCTATCTACTAGTGGGTGTTTTTAAAGTTTTTAATTTAGGCACAGGCTTTGGAGTTATAGTTTAATGGATTTTGTCTGACATTTTCTTGGGTTATGTAAAATGGATTTCAAGTTCAAAGATAATAGTTACGTTTGTATAGAGCTCCTATGTGTCTAAACGCCTAACATATTACCCCGGTCATTGGATTCCATTGCTAACAAAAAGTTGTGTATAGGTTTACTAGGAGATCCTCTCCGAAGCCGCTATCAATGTTATTGGAGACAGTCGAGTTATGGTACGTTGTTCCTTAATCATGGTCTATAGCTTTTTGAGCAAATGCTGAACCGTGTATAATATTTTGATTATGATTACGCGTAAAAACACATACACATATCAACATATAATTTAACTCGTGATTAAAAATGTGGATTTTTTATACCTTCATATTTTGTCTCATTTACATATAGATAGAACTTTTCTTGGCCACAGAAACCAACTCCCCTTTAAACACAAGTGCCATAATTATGGTATTACTTTATCTCCCATGTAAATGAGACAAAATGTGAAGGTATAGAAAATCCACATTTTTAATCACGAGTTAAATTATATACACATATCAACATATAATTTAACTCGTGATTAAAAATGTGGATTTTCTATACCTTCACATTTTGTCTCATTTACATATAGATAGAACTTTTCTTGGCCACAGAAACCAACTCTCCTTTAAACACAAGTGCCATATGGTATTACTTTATCTCCCACGTCATTGATGGTTATTAGGTGGTTATTTTACCTGACTGCTTAAAAAGCATAAATGCTTGTAAGTAAGCAACCAGACGGCCGACCAGGCGCGGATCCAGGATTTCTTAGGGGGCCCAAATTTGAAATTATGCGAGCCAAATATTAGTACGTAATGGTGACCAGCAGTGATGTAATTGGGGGGGGGGGTGGGTGCAGGGAGGGACGAGTTTTCTCCCTCCCTCCTTCGCGAAGCGCGGAAGCTTTGACATTTCAATAAATTATTAGAGATAGGAGACGATTCGTTGTACCGTTCCCAAAAATAATCCTCGTCTGAATTATGTCCCCCCCCCCTCCTCACGCGGAAGCTTTAACGTTTCATTAAATCATTAGAGAAAGAAGACGATTCGTTGTGCGTTATCGACTCTTAATCGTCGTCTAAATTCAGGTTCCCCCTCTCGCGCGAAGCGCGGAAGATTTTACGTTTCATTAAATTATTAGAGAAAGAAGACGAATCGTTGTAACGTTTTCGACTCTTAATGCTTATCTGAATTTCAAAATGTTCTTTGTCTACTCCCTTTTCCTTTTCACTCCTCTCTTTTTTTGGCCGGCATTTTTGGGGGACCACCCCACCGCCCCCCTGGCTACGCGCCTGCGGTCAGATGAACATATGTTGATACCTTGTCCGCCCCGGAAGCTCAGGGGTTTAAGGCAATAATTTACGGTCAGATTAGCACTCAGGAGTCCGCCTTAGGGCCCTCGGCGGGGTCCAGGGGCAGAGCCCCCGAAGTTCAAGGGTTTTAGAAATTTAATTACGATCAGATAAGCATTATTTTGATACCTAATTGTGACACTGGCAGGTTACTAATTGGCGTGGGGTTCAGGGGTCGGAGCCCCCGGAAGCCCAAGGGTTTTAGGCACTCAATTACGGTCAGATGAGTATCAAGGGGCCCGCCTTAGGGCTCTTTGTCGGGTCCAGGGGGCAGAGCCCCCGGAAGTTCAGGGGTTTTAGGTGTTTAATTACGGTCAGATGAGCAGTTTTTGATACCTTATTATTTTGTGACACTGGCAGGAAACTATTTGGCGTGGGGTCCAGGCGGCAAAGCCCACAGAAATCAGGGGTTTTAGGCATTAAATTACCAACAGATGAGCATCTAAGGGCCCGCCTTAGGGCCCTAGGTGGAATCCAGGGGGCAGAGCCCTCGGGGTTTTAGGCATTTAATCATGGTCAGATGAGCATATTTTGATACCTCATTATAATGTGACACTGGCAGTTAACTATTTTTTTTCCTTTCTTGCTCTCTTTCTTTCTATTTCTCTTTAATATACTTTATCAAAAAAGTGGGTGGTGGGGGGGGGGGTAGGGGTTCGAGGATCCCGATCCCCGCCGTCCCGCGAGCCCTGACATGTAGGCATCTCAAGAAGCATTTCCTTGGCTGTAAATTTAGGATATACTTAAAACTATGTCATTTCAGCATTATTTGTAAATCACCGTTATGGAATTAGAAATAAACCACGTTTGAATTTTATTTCCCCAAAGCCCCCCCCCCCCTCCCCTATCAGTACGCCAGTGCCCCCCCCCCCCCGATCTACACCTTGTTGGTGGGAAAATTGCAACTGATATCCCTTACCTTTCTTCATTCTCTTTCTTTTTCTTTCCCTTTCTCTCCTCTTTTCCTTTCCCTTCCCTTCCTTCTTTCTCTTTTATGTTTGCTGGAGGAGGGCAAGGTCATTTATCCCCACCCCGCTCCACACATTGTTGGCGGGATTAACCGCAACTGATCTCCCTTTCTTTTCTACTTTTTCTTTCTTCTTCCTCTTTTTTGTTCCCTTTTAGCTCTCCTCTTTTAAGGCAAGGGCCTTTTGTCCCCCCCCCCGATCCACAATCTGTTGACGGGAAAATTGCAACTTATATCCCCCTTCTTTTGTTTTCTTCTTCCTCTTTTTTCCTTCCCTTTATCTCCTCTTCTTCTTTTATCTTTCCCTTCATCCCTCTTTTCCTTTCTTCTTCGTCTTCTTTTTTTCCCTTTCTCTCCTCTTTCCCTTTCTCTTCTTTTCCCTCTCTCTGTCTCCTTTTTTTTGCGGGGGGGGGGGGCCAAGGCCCGCTCGCCCCCCCCCCCCCTGGATCCGCACCTGCATTAATGTTCACAATATCATCAAGTCAGGCAGTGTCTGCATTCTTTTTCTATTCAATGATTTTTGTATATTAAGTTTGCTCTATTTCGTTCGTTTATAATTAACTTGATTAATAACCACATACAACACGTGGGTCGCTGAGTGACAATAAACCTTCAACAAATTGAACCCTCAACATGATCTACTTTTCAGGATTTTCATGCTCTTTGCAGATAAGTTCTTAACTTTCTTTTTCCTTTTTCCGAATAAAAGGCTTTATCGCTTCATGATATATCGGCCATGACAGTTTAGAATTACTTAGCCTTAAAAAGATGACCTTCTGTCCCATAATGCCGTTGGAGTACCTGTGTATCCATGGTAACGGACTCGATTTCCATGGAACTATCATGCCCACTTCCGCTCTCACCCCGATTAACTACTGGCCAATGAGAATGCGCCATTTCCTGTCTACGTGATACATAAGTACTGTTAACACGGCTGGATAAAATATTGGTCATTTTGTTGAACACTTTCAAGTCAACACTTACAATACTTATAGAGGATTTGGCACGACTCTCACAATCAGTGGAAAGATTCCTTGAATTTTGTTAATGGTAGAAAAATCTCTATAACCAGATGCAATATTCTTATCGCCCCGCCCCCCAACCTAAAATTTGGAGAAAAAAACTTCCAATATTTGGGCAACCGTCTTCTCGTGTTCGAATTAAGTAATGGTCTCGTTATAATTTTTCTAATCTTTTATAAATTACAATGAGAAAAATTGCATTACAATGCAAAATGGTTACATAATGCAAAAAAAAGTGAATCTCGTTTTGATAAAGCGTTTGACATCATGCATTATTTTGCTCCCTTGCTTCGCTTGCTTAAAAAAAGTTGATGTTCGGGGACGAGACGTCGGCTTGCCACTTAACAACAGTATGCCTATAATAATAATAATACCCCTCTTTTTTAACCATTGAAGTCTGGTAACACATCTTACTTATTATAAGGGTTATGAGAACAGGGCTACACTAACGGCGGAAGTGATAAAGTAACAACTTCCGTGTCACGTACCGCGCCGTTGCCCTATCATGTTGCTGGTCATTAGCATGATTAGTGGCTTAATACCGCACTAATCCCGCCCTTAGAAGATTAAACACACGCATTTCCGAGTCTAGTTTTGACGAGCGGGAATGGGAATCACGCAACAAGGTCGGATTTGATTCAGAAAACTATTTTCAGATGATGACCTGTGCGAGCATTTATGCAGTGTGATCTTCGTGCATGAAGGTCGGTCTGAAACGCACACACACACCCACTCACACACGCACATAAATTAACAAAAACAGATGGTTGATCGGGTCAAGTTCACGCAAGCTGCCGGCGTACTGACTAAGTGACCTTGATTATAATTGTTGTCATTGGTATTTATACGTATTAATTTATTAGAACAAAACACGAAGAATAGAAGTATATTGCCTAGTTATCAGAAAAGTAATAAACGGATAAACCACAGGAGAGAGCTAAGGGGTGCCGTGAACAATAACCGAGAACACCAAATAACTTATGAACGAAATGTGTGCGTGTATTTGTGCGTGAGTATTTTAGTGCGTGTGCGTGCGTGAGCGTGCATGACCAGTGTGCGCGCGTTTGTGCCTGTGTGTGTTGTGTAGGAGAGAGAGGGGGTGAGGATGCAGTAAAGTAGGAGTGAAAAAATATACTAGAGAGAGAGAGAGAGAGAGAGGGGGGGGTATCAGACAGTCATGACGGAGCTTCGATTGTGTAAGGTTACGAGGGCATGAGGGAGAGAGAGGGAGAGAGAGAGGAAGAAAGACCAGCGACGACCAACATAAACGTCGGTAAGCAGTAGCAGGACGTAAAAAGAACAGTGATAAAAGGTCATCATTATTTTTACCTAACCATCCCACCAAGAAATACCGAGAACTAGCCGCGACTATAACCGACAGGGAGCTGTCAGCTGTGACAAGGAGGGAGAGAGAGAGACAGAGAGAGAGAGAGAGACAGAGACAGAGAGACAGAGAGAGAAAGAGAGAGAGAGAGAGGGGGAGGGAGAGAGAGAGAAAGAAAGAGAGAGAGAGAGAGAGAGAGGAAGATAGGAAGAAAGAAAGAGAGAACGAGAATTAGAACGAGAGCGTGGATGAGTTATAAATGATGACGGTGACAACGCACTATAATGACAGCACCGATTAGCACTTCGGAGAAATCATTGACGGGCTCGTGTTGCCAATTGGGGATTTCAGGAGCAATAACGATAAACCGCTCGCTCTATTATTAGGAATACCAATGAGTTGCGTTGTGTTCTTAACAACTATTGACTTGTTGTATATTGCTGTATGATTTTCCCTTTGATAGTGACGTAAATGGTTAGATTTTGTGTTAATCGTTAATTCGGATTTAAATCATTTTGAAGGCTCCTGCTTCGTAAACATTTTTTATAGTGATTGCATTATATTCGTTCTCTTTGAACTATAATGTTTGGGACTGTGTTATGTCCGTACTGAGACATGGAGTGTGCAAAATCGAAATGAATTCATTTTTTTAAAACCTTTTCTTCTTCTTCTTCTTCTTCTTCTAAAATGCTTGCCCTTATTTTTTGTGTCTGAGGGTAAGAAGAGGGATTGCAATTTCTGTTCCATCTGTACTTTTTAAAATCTTCGCAGCCAGATGGCTCTATTGTAATAGTTTACCAAATGTAAAACATGCAGGGGTGGGGTGAGGAGGGTTATTGTGGGTTAAGCATTCATAATGATGGCATTGCATGACGTTTTTCATCTCTCATCTGCATGATTTGTGACTTGCAAGGTTACCATTTTGGAAAGTGGGGAACACTGCACTCTTGTATTCATCGGTCCTTGTTAATTTGCTCATTTGATTTTCACGGACTTTGATTGCGAATGATGAGTGTACATAGAGCATGTAATTATATAGGCCGCCATATACATTCACAATGTGCATTTAATTATTCCATATAATTATACTGAGGTTGGGGAGAGTTGAATTCGCGGAAATGTCTTATTGATTGGCTGAGCTATATTCAGAATATAAATGTCATGCTATTGATTGTCACTGCAACATGGCATTCGAATGTTACGTGTGAAAAGTGAAGGATAGACAAGAGAGAGAGGGGGAAATGGAGAGAGAGAGAGACGGATAGAGAGAGAGAGGGGAGGGAGAGAGAGAGAGACGGAGAGAGAGAGAGGGGGGGAATTGGAGACGGGGAGAGAGGGACAGAGAGAGAGAGAGAGAGAGGGGGGAATTGGAGACGGGGGAGAGAGGGACAGAGAGAGAGAGAGTGGGGAGAGAGAGAGAGAGAGAGAAAGAGAGAGAGGGGGAATTGGAGACGGGGGAAAGAGGGACAGAGAGAGAGAGAGAGAGAGAGACGCCTAGAGAAGGTGAGAGACAGAGAAACACAGGTAGAGAGAGGTAGAAAGAGGGAGAGAGACGCAGAGAGAAGGAGAGAGACAGAGAAACACAGGTAGAGAGAGGTAGAAAGAGGGAGGGAGAGAGAGAGAGAGAGAGAGAGAGAGAGAGAGAAAGCATGAAAGGGAGGGAGGGAGAAAGGGGGAGGGACAGAGAGAGAAAGAGAGAGAGAGAGACATACAGACTGAGAGAGAGAGAGAGAGGGGGGGGGGGAAAGACAGACAGAAAGGGGGAAAGAGACACACAGAGTAAGATAGAAAAAGAAGGATTAAGAGAGGGGGGCAGGAGAAAACTAAGAAGGAATAACGAGCTAGTTTGGTCGAGAATTTGTTTATGAAAGTTTGTTGATATTATTTTCTTTCATAGAATATTGATCTTAGTGTAATGTAACGCACAAGACAATTTTTATCTTTTTAAAGAGGGGATAGTTGGAAAATGATGTCAGATAGAAATCCATAAAATACCTCTTAATCCAAACAATATAATAAATTGCGGTTTTTATACAGTGAACGTATTTGACATGCATTTTACATTGTGTTTTAATACACACACGAGTATGACATAATGAAATTAAAAAATTGATTTGCTCCAAATATTGGTGATTAAAATAATGTATGTTTAAAATTGTTTTCGAACCATTTATCTGTCCATTTAAACTAACATTTCACAAATCAAGGATCTAAGTTAGATATAAACTTAGCATGGTAGAACTTAGATCTTTTAGTACACTTTTGCTATCAGTGCTCGTTTGGTTTCATTTTAGGGGCAGTTTTAGGAGTTTGTAAAAGGGGTCCGGGGAAAAAAAAAGCTCTCATGAACATTGACACTAAGAAATTAAAGGGTACCTTCTGTAACTTGTTAACACTTATAATACAGAACAATAACCATATTTATATGCCTAGGTCTGTAGTTCTAACTGTTCGATTCGTTTTTATCAATTTTTTATTCAATTAAACCCGGACTGGGGTCTAAGATCACGTTTAGTGAAAGGAAAACTAAAACTCAGACTAATTTTCTTTGCTAATCCTTATATTTGGACAGAAGCTTCCACCCAGGTTATGTCCATGATTATACTTATAGGATAATACGGGTCTTAAACCTTGATCTGTTTTAGTTTAGAACCCTCAGGAGCTGGCCAAACAAGTATCATAGATTACGGGAGAGTTTCCCACGGGCCGTCGTTGGGTAGAACGATCGGCCAGTCATTAGTTACTCACGTTATTTAGACATGTTTAGATGAAACATTAGAATTTGATTTCAAGTTCAACTTTATTGTATCATGTACGAACTGAGACAGAGTCAGAAAGATCAAAGTGAATATAAAATGTGCTATCTTGGAGATTTCTTTTTTTTTTTCCTGATGTTATGTTTTCTTTCTGAGGCGAGTAGGGGCATAGTATTTCTCGCAATTCACATATTTGCTCTTAATGCCCTTTTTTTGTGCCATACGGTACTTTTCTAGATGATATTCAAATGTTCTTTTTGCATGCAAATGCGTAATAGCAACAGTTTTATGTATATTTCATTAATTCAAGGTCTATTCAAACATATATTCGCAGCCGGATGGCTTAATTGCAAAAGTTTATGAATTATATTTATTTGTGAACGACTAGATTGGCATGATTATACCCAGAATACACGAATTGAAATGCAAATCTGACACATTATGTCACTATAATTCAAGGTCTTTTAAACATTATATTTGCAGTCGGATGTCTGACTCGAACTAGTTCACAATATCTGAAAAAGGAAATAAAGAGACATAAAAAATGACGAATGGCACCTGTCCAATTTACAATGAATATAGATTGGCATAATTATCTATAGAATCAACAAGTTGAAATTAGACATACAATTTTGTTTAATCTATATCGTGCAGACCTTCACATTTCTGCCACTGTATACTGTTATTTCGTTGAATAATAGAACACCCGCTCAAATATGAATCATGCAGTAAATGATTACTTTGGGTGCAACGAAATAATTTGCAAAGTTTGACACTATCAGTTGAATTGGAAGAATTGAACGCGGTTTATTCATCAAGTCTAACTTGATTATGAAAAAACAAAAACGAAAATGACTGGGATTCTCTAGATCCAGTATGTTTAAATGTTGGGGCACAGTTTTTTGTTATTATTTTGACGAGCGAAAACAAGAATGGTAAAAATCACCTTAAAAAAAGAAAGGGTGGGAACATTTTGTGGGCTTGCGTAATAAAGATATGCAACTTGGGTTTCAAAAGGAACATGGGCCGGTTGCGTGCAACCCCACCCCCACCCGCCTAGCCCCTAAATCCCCCAGTACCTCGCATTTACAATAAAGCTCTACATTGCACGGATAGTCAGGAAATAGCACCCAGATCGGAAATAATAAAAATTGCCAGTACTTGTTTGTTCTTTCTTTCCCTTTCCTTTTCTTTCCTTACACATTTCCAGAAAACGGGGAAATCCCTGCTGTTTTTCAACACTTTGTACCCAGCGGCGCCCCGCAGGATACCACAATATGTTTTCGTGATATCGCGTGCACACCGAGATAAAAAGTACAAACGTAACAAAAGAAGAAAGACCTGGTTTACATACATTAAATCTAATGTCTTTTTGTCAGTGTCCGTGACTTTTTGAAAAGCCTTATTGGGAAAACTCAACCTTTTCACCGGACCAAAATTTGATGATCGTGTTTTTTGGGGTGGTGATTTGGAAGACAACTAAGTAAATATTAAATCGTATACATCAATAAATGAATAATATAAGAAAATCCCCCATTACACAATATCCATGATTATTTTTATTTATGTATGAAATTTGTGACAAAAATCCAAGAGCCAGAAGTTTAAATTGAATTGAAACCGTTTTTGCAAATATTAGCCCTTTTTGTCATTGATATCGGGCATTCTTTGAATTTAGTGATTTTGGGTGAATGTTTACATTGTGGGTGATTTTTCACATGCCTTTTAGTTATGTTGTTCTGCTGGGACCTAGCAACACTGTTTTATGTATCATGTCCTGTTTCTGAAATCTGTTAAGCAATTCATCAACGTCCCTCAAAGCAACCATATAGTTTGTCTCTCTCTGACCGAATGAAGTTCAGTTCTGATACCGGATTTAAACTAAAGTCTCATTAGGAATTTTAGATTTGCACTGCCAGTGCCTTAAAAGGATACCTTAAAAGGACGTCACACGTAGCAGTCCACTATGTCGAAGTGCAAATCTGAAAGTCCCTAATATCATCAACCATTCCTGTGCCTTTCAAGAGACGGTTGAGTTCTGGGAAAGATAATTAATTGTTAAGCTTTTGGGGTGAGTGTGGAAGAATATCATAGAACATAATGTCTCCTGAAAAGGATTTCCTGTCACATACCCTCATATTCAGACTTTTACAAGAATTAGGTGAAATCTTTAGGCCAAACTGTCATGCCACGTGTGACTCAGACTGATCACTTAGCTTGAGAAAGTCCACAGGAGTGGATGAAAGCTTGCAAAACAAATTTAAGGTTGGTAGAAGCTTAAAAACTACATCTTTTCATGCCACATGTTTGTGCAGTCCAATATACATATTTAGTACTATGCACGTGACTTTCAACAAAGCTGAGCAAATTTCTTATGATTTTGATGATTCAACAACTTTGCAGTATTTTTCTGTGCTGTGGAAAGCTCATTGCACACTATACGATCTTACTACGATCCGATTTTTGAAGAAAAAAAATCGCAATAGCATTTGATATCAACATTCAAACTTTTAAAATCTTAATGATATAATTGATCTGAAATGTCATATGATTAATACAATCTAAATGTCAATGGATTTCAAGCTCCCTTGGGGGAAGACAAGCTTAATCGGTTCAGAATCGTAGTGACGTCAGACCGGTATAGTGCGATTGTCTACGATGTAAAGGCGATTCGGCTTTTATTCTGAATCGAAGTGATGAATGCACTAACATATCTGTTATTTCATTATTTAGAACCTTAAAGATAAACTTTAGTACTGGTAATGCGATTGCATTGTGAAAGAAAAGGTGTGGAAAGGATCAGAAACAGTTGATCATGTAGCATGTAAGTATTGGTGTGCACTGCAAGGTTCTGGAGTCATCAAAATCATAATAAATTTGACCGAGTCTTGGTAAAGTAACAAGCACTGTACACAGAAAGTTATATATGGGACAACACAAATGGTGTTGGGGCTAGTACTACCTTGCTTTTCTTGCCTTTCTATGCTCATTACTCAGCCAGTATACATTTTCTTCCAAAATTGTTTGGCACATGTCATTTATTTGTAATCTTGAACATTCAGTGTAAGTTTCGTTTGATTCTGTGAGAATTAATTTTCTTTTTTTTTAACCAGAACTGGAGTTTATCTTTAATCAAGGAGATGAGGTTTGTTAACATTTCAAAAGCTAATATGATTGCCATTCCGTCCAAAGTCGGATCGCACAACGATCGTTAAGTGTGCAATAGCCTTCATCAACATAACTCCAATCTTATTTTCAATCTTATTTGAAAAAATGAAAATGCCTACTTGTTGTCATCATAGAAAACGATCATACGTGCACCATACGTTTTTAGCTGTCATGTTACACTTAATCATTAAGTAATTCATGTAAATAGGCCTATGTATTGAAATCATACGTGCACTAATAATATTGCCCATCATAATTCATTTTTACACATTTTTTTCGACAAGCGGTATATCTGCTGGTTGACACTTTACGTGCTACAAACTGACAATTGAGTTGTAGGTCCTCTTAAGAAATTGTATATTTCATAATCAAGAAAATATTGTACATATTCAATTCGAGCGCATGCAGCTAGCAATCAGATTTGTGCATGTAAAGAAAAGTCTCGTAAAAAAAAATAGTCCTGCACCCCTTTTGCACAAAATAATTACTCGAAACTTTTTTTCCATATGGTAACAGCTGTGATTTGTGAAAAGGTGGATTTTTATATTAGCTAATGGTGTAAAGAGTTACGAATAATCCTATCTTCCGATCAATCGTAAATCGGTGTGTAACTAGGCTAGTATTGATTTCGTTTTCACGCAGGGATATTTCGGGGAAGCACGGATGTGCCCATCACAAAAGTTGGTTACCGATGCATGATGCTAATATTGAGGTTTTGTGAGTATAATATGTCACGAGCTGCTTTAGTGCACCGTGGCGTCCGGCCCGCCCGCCCCCTCGAAACC